AGGGCTTTGTGAAATATAGCTGTCATTTTTTCCAGAGATTGTCGATGATCATCTGGTAACTGTTAGAATCGACATCGCAATACTAATGAGACACTGTCAAGTCAATATACAATAAGTTCATCATATCACCCAGCCCAGCCCTACAGAGTATAGCACTGAATCTTACTTTTTCATTTATTTATGAACAGCTACTTATAATTGCACTTACTGAATTACAAATGACAAAGTCTATGTAACAAGGTATCTGTTTGGCATCATAAGTAGGTCAGAACCTAAATACTCACGGCAGCTTTGGTCTGATTTAGACTATTCCAGGCTTGAGATATCTCTGTTGAGAGAAAAACATTAACATAAGAAATCACACAAATATGCTAACGTTGATGTTTAAAGTATAGAATTACATAGTTGGACGAACCTCTCCTGTTGTCTTGCCCAGCAAGGGCAGGCTGGGAAGAGGCCGAGGCTGACGGCCCCGCCTCACTTCGCAAGCGACTCCACATCGCTATGCCAACCTGAGAGGGAAGGGGGAAAACAGGCAAACAATGTGAGAGAAGCAATTATCTTGTCAACATCTGCTGTCAAATATTGTCGTTGTTGGCTTATTGCTAAGATTATGACCACAACACATGACTTCTTGACAGTACTCTTTTGTCCTAAATTATATTTGGGCCAAACCATAAGTTTAACTGATTGTTACTAAGATAGATTGATCAAAGCATATCACTATTAGGTTTTAATGTCTCGCCTCAGTTTTTTCATCAAAGCGAGGGTTAAAGTGATGGTGTAATTTGTTAGATTGCCTAAAGGCCACACATATGATGGTTTTCAAGTCATCTGAATCACCCGGTCTTCCTCCAAGCACTACCCTCATAACATCGTGTCCCTGTCCTCGAACAACCCCAGAGCAAACAGATTTAAAGGTCTATTCTAGCGTAAAAAAAAGTGTTTTGTGCAGACTGTCTGAAGCACTGCATCAAACGCAATAAATATTCCAAAGGGACACTGAAGTCACACCCTCAACTCAGACCCTTGAATTATATAGTATATTCATAAAGCATGCATAGGACATATCTCAGCGCCCAACATGTATATTTCATTGAGTGAATTTCAAACCTATGCTGGAAAACAGCATTGGTGAAAAGGCATTTAAACACGCTCTACCACTTCACTAACAGCAGTGAATGAGGTAATGTAGATACCAGAGAAACCAAATGTGTCTGGAATGAGGAAAACAACAAAACTTTAAATTCAGCATGAAATTCAAAATGCATTAAATAAAATAAATAGGACTTTTCTAGTGAAAAACACACTTCTCATTTCGGTAAAGTGTGCAGGACTTTTCTAGCGTCTTTTCCAATCATTTAGTCATGTCCACTTAAACCTCACCGCTGCAAGTTTGTGTTCATCATACTGCTCCACTTTATAATGCACATCTCAACATCCAATCAACACATATACTAAGTCCCAGTCTTTATAGTTTTTTAATTATGCAACACTGGTGTGTACAATATAAAATACGGAAGAAAAGATCTGTCACTAGTACTACCCTTTATTTAAACCAGTTTTAAAGCTTATAGACATTTCATGCTCTTTGTTTGCCTGTTTGTTAAAGTCACAATAAAACAGAGGAAGCAATAATTCTTCTTTCGCATTGTTATGAACAATGAAACAGACCATCCAGAGAGAAAAAAAAGGGACTTCGTTCTATCCATGTTAAAACATCATGCTTTGGACTGGGGATACTGACAGAAACGACAACTGCGAAAGAATCAAAGCTTTACTTGCCTCAAAGTAAAAAATAGGCAAAGTAACTGCCAAGAAAAGCACAAAATATCCTTTGATTTACCCATAAAAGACCCACCATTATCCATATCCTCTCTACTAAGTTACTTTTCAATATCACTTTCTAAAAATGTAATAAAAACAAAGACCAGACAAAGAATATTCTCTTCCTGATTAAATTTCATATCACATTTTGGGAATTGAAACTTCATCTACCTTGTATGCACACCACTTGACAGTTGTGAGATTATGGTTTCATTTAAAAACTGCTCACATGTAGACAAATTATGAATAATAATAATTAACAAGACTAAAGAGAAGAATGCATTTCATGCATAACACATAATGGACCAGCACTCACTTTCCAGCAACTTTATTCAGAGAGACATAAGTCCACCTTGTCTTCTGGACAGCTGGACACATCGGACAGCTGGCGATTCTGTCACCTCTACCTGCACCCAGACCGAATACAAAAAAGGTGATTTGACAATGAAAGCTCAAAGTAATACCAGTTCATAAATAATCATACAAATCTAACTCACATCACTTATGTTCACAGCGTTAGATAGATGCTGGAATCAACACAGCTAATTACAGAAATTGATTGGCCTCTCAATAACTATTCATGGGCTTTACTCTGAATTAAAGGGAAAGGGAAACAACATGACAGATCACCAGCATCAGCTGAGAGATCAGCTGACATCGCATTCAAAATCAGGATAAAATATCAAGCGAACGCTTCTAAGGGACTCACAAAGTGTCCGATCGCATTAATACATATACTCTACTAACGTTACATTGCAAGAGCTTAGCCAAAACAACACCTTAAACATAACTTAAGTGGACAAAAAGGATATAAGAAAATATCAACATAAATTACAGTTGAAGAGCAACACACATTATAGACCTTTATACTCATTCAGAATCAGAACTACATTACAAACAAACAAAAATATGAGACAAGAAAACATTCATATCAAATAAGTAACGTTCTATAAAGAAATACAGTTGACGTAAGTTATAAGTGTCAATCACACAAACACAACTTAACGCGAACTATCTACTGCGAACTAAATCAACCAAACAACCGACTCGACGTCTACTTGAAACAATAATTACGCACCTCAGAGAGTTTCACAATATTACAACGAAATTGTTGGCCTATGATTTTAAATTCTCTGACGAAAGTTATCGCTAACAGCTGCTGCTAACCGGCTAACTGTTAAACCATTAAAGCTCGCTAACAAACTTTTTTGGGTTTCTGGGATCAGGTTGTCTTTCGTTGAGCGCTAAAGTCAGAATGTGATTGGTTAATACTTACCTAAAAGTTTATTGTACCTGCTACCCGCCTTTCGGTGTATGTTTCCCGGCTTTAATGATAAGTTAGGACGGCCGTTGGCTAGATTTGACGGTCCGCCATTACCCAAACAACTGTTTCAGGAAGTTCCCGTCTGAGAGAAACTCGCGATACTTTCCGTAAAGAACGTGTGTTTATTTCTTGGCCGTGTTTGACATCTAGTGTTTAACTAATGGAATTACAACAAAAATATTTTTACTTTGATCCATTCCGTGAGATTACATATTTCACCAGTTATGAGTTCAACAAGGTCAACACTGGCTCTGACGTGTTTTTATTATTATTATTGTCACTATATTATTATTGCAATTGTATACTTAACCTTTCTGTTTCAAAGATACGTCAGTCACATAAATATGAAAGAAATCATTTTTATACTGATAATAATAGTAATAAATTATTATAATAATAATAATTATAAGTTATTATAAGAAACAATAAAAAGTAGCCTAAATAAATACATGTATTATTATTATTTGTAAAAAAAATAATAAAAATTAATACAAATACTTATATTTGGCTATATTAATAAATAATAATAAAACATATTTATAAATTTGTAACATTTGTTGATGTTATTATAAAAATATTAAAAAGTTCATAAATATATTAATAATAAGGTTAATTGTATTTTTGATGTTATAAGGCCCATGAGTTATTAACAGTAAATTAATGATTGAATGTTGCAAAATTATAATAATAATAATATTAATTAATAATATTTTTTATTATTGTTGTTATTATTATGCCTATTATTATTATTATTGATAGTGTATTATGGGATGTATAGCATACACTAGTTACAACGGCTTACTATCACTCCACTTGTCAGTGTTTGTCATGTCAGTGGGGAGCACAGTTGTGATTTTGCCTGAGTAAAGAGCAGGATTTTCGAAAGAATGAGCATCTTTATTTCTTTAGCTTCAGGATTGCCCAGAGCAGGGTGAGATGGATCCTTGAAATAGATAGACAGGAAGCCTAACCACAACAATTGTTTTTTCATTTCTTTCTCCAATAAAACCCATTCAAATAACACCACTCATCCATAAAACAATGAGGACCAGACAGAAACATTTTATATGTTCAGCTTCTGCTTCAAATAATGCAAGAAAGAATTAAAAACTAAGGAAGAAGCAAAACTTCTGGGCAATTTTTAGCATATATTTCACCCAACGTGGGTCAGGCAAGCCCTTATAAACACTTAAATGGCATAAATGAAAGGTAAATACCAAGCAAAAGTGTTGAGCAACAGAAAACACAATAAATAAAAACTATTCAATTACAGATACATATAGCATACATCTTTTGCACTCTTTTGACATGTTGACTTTACATAAAAAAACAGAAATTTAGAAAATAGCTATAGCCTATACATTGGAAATATGGACAAAATCAAGAACGAAATGGAAATAGGCTTATATTATTAAATCAAAGTTTTATTTGCCATTTGTATAGAACAAAGCATTGTACACATGCATAGGAATTGCTCATTCAAGCTCATCAACTGAATTTTGAAGAACCTGAGCAATACCTCAACCATACACAGATTGACAGTCTACATAACAATTGGTTTGAAATTTCTTTCTGTAATAAAAATATTTTAAAAAAGCCATGCACTAAGTGTAATAATGCATGCATGGAATTTCACGCGTCACTTACCCAAAAAACTCATATTTCCAGATTAGACAGTCCTCTTAATGAAAGCACATAAACCGAGCTGGTGACGATTTTATCATTGTGTTAAAACTATAATGTGAAATATTTAATAATTTATGTATCCTAATTACCGAGACAGTTACTCTCGCCCCCCTCTGGTGATCTAACCTGTCGTACTCTGTTTGAAACTGGGTATTTGTGTTCAGCACCCGCAATCTCTCCAGCACATTAACCATTTTAGCGCTGTGTCAGCGAATGCGCACGAGAGAAAGACAGATGTAGTAGGCTTTACTCGCTCAACAGAAACATATTTTCAGCATACGGGCACAGCATAAATGGAAAAACGCCGCTGAGTCGCAGGTGAACGTGAGGACCACTGAAGGAAACTCTGCGTTGCGCTATTGCGGTGATGGAGCTCAGACTCAGAGCACTTGTAGCTGCGCTCCGTTTATCTGATGCTGGTAAGCTTATGTTTTTATTATCGCTCATTATTATTATATAGCCTAGGTATTAGCTTGATGTGTTCAACATTGCCACCCACTCGAGATTTATAATTGCAGTTCTTACAGATGTTTTGCTGGACGTGTAGGCTAATTTCTACATTAGATTGTAAACTTCTTGAAGTGTTTTGATAAAATTGTTTTTTATTCATTTATTTGTTTGTTTGTCATTGTTGTTCATTTTAGTGGATCTATTTGCCTTGGTTGAATCATTAATCAAATCAGATGTCAAGAAAAAGGATATGTAGCCTATTTGCAGAGACGTCAGTCGTAGTCTAAGTAGTCTATTGGCTATTAGCCTAATGAACCTGCGTAGTTCCGATTCCAATTCCCATTTAACGTTTCTTTTTGCTGTATAGTTTACTTTAAAAGGAAGGAAACTATTATTGCATTACTGCTCTTGAAGCCTTTGATGAATTGAACTGATCATTTATGTGTTACAGATTTAAACAGAAAATATAATATATTGATTTATTTAGTAGGCTAGCCTAAATACAGAAAGTATGTCTTTTTAAATAGCCTAACTTTTCACTGACTTTTTAAAGGCGGCATTTTGGCCCTATAGCTATTTAGCCTGAATAACAACATTACACAAACAAAAATGTATCATAGCCTATTTGTTAGAAAAGATAGTGTAGGTAGGCTATCTATCTTTAACTAGCCAACACCCAGCCAGTCATTAAACACTACACTGATTTAAATGTCAATTTAAATGCCTACCGCTGTTAATAATAACTCGATTCGAATCGGACAAAACGAAAGTGGTTCAGTAAATTGATCATAAAGAGCCGACTCGAGTCATAAGGTCATTCATTCGTCATTGAATGGGATTCGCGCGATTTGAGTCACCAAAAAGAACCTCTCACCGTTGTTTGTTTTTGATTCACTAAAAAGAACCGACTCAGACGTGTCATTCGTTCGAATCAGACCACACAAGTCCTAATATTTCACGCGCGGTAGAATAGGAATGCTGTAATTCAGGCAACGCTGTCTATAACGTTACCCGGACGTTAAAAATTCAGTTAAAAAAGGTAGGAAGAAATCAAATCATGTATATTAACGAAACATCCTGACAGAATGCATAATAGTTGCCGATTTCCGGTTCGACGGATGAGTGATGGCGTCTTATAGAGCAGTTGAGTAAACAAATTCGTAGGCTATATATTGATTATACAATATTTATTTTTCTATAGTTATATGTCACCATTTTGCTTTACTGTTGGTTCGCTACCCCTCCCCAACCCCCAGTAACGTTAGCATACTCAGCATACTTTACCCTACCTGATGAATGGCAGGCCTGTGAATGTGACGGCAGGCCTAAAGTGTTGCCAGCGTTTTGCGCTTTAAATTTTGCTAAAAATAAACATTCTGCCGGGAAATGCTTTGTATTTAACGAGTTTGTTTGCCCATAAAATCTCTAAGATATTAGGTTAAATTTATTTGGCTTGCTGTCCACTCGAGAGAGGCTCGATGAAGCAGCTTCAACTCAAACTCTGATTTACCCAGAGTGCCTCCCTAACTTTCGTTTAGGAACCAGTAATGCATCAAATCATATCAAGGATTGACAAGAATCAGTGATTGAGGCCATCTATCTTTATCGCTCCACATTGAAAAAATCACTTTTAGTTACACACAATATTGAATAAAGATACTGTAAGTAGTTGCATTAGTAAGAAGAACCTATTCTTTATACAAAAATAAAAAATCTAAGTGAATATTTGTAAACCAAATAAATAGATTTTAAAAGAATAAGAGCCGCACCTGTCACTGACCAAGGATCAGTCTCTGTTCATTTCTAGATAGCATAAAAGGGCCTCTCAATGCACATTGATTCGTGGTCATGGAACGAGGTGTTAGTCGATACAGCTTCTCGGTTGCAAAGTAGTTAACAGACATCCCCATTTTTAGAGTCTGCACCCCAGGTGGTGCTGTCAATGTCTATGTGCATTATGTAGTGCTGTTTGGAAAACTACAGAACTGCCACATCACTCATTAATTGTACTGACAAATGGCTTTCCCCATTCATTTATCACTGCATTATTTATTACTTAAACTGTTGCTGGAAAAATGGTGTAATCTTCATTGAAATGCATCAGAATAGCAATTCAATTCACTTTTGAATTTGGATAATAATTAGGACTGTAGACCAGTGGGTTTTTACTTGTTGTCTACACTACAGACCATCAAAAATTCACGATATAGTGATTTTCACTAGCGCTGTGTATTTACACAAATTTCACTATTTAATTTGTTCCAATCCCAATTCATAAGCTTCCAATTTCAATTCAGTTCCAAATTGAATTCAGTTTAAATTTTTTCTTAAGAAAAAAAAATGCTCTAAACTAGAAACCATGTGCTTTAAAAATGATGTGATGAATGAACTGATTTGTTTGCAAACATTTACATTGCACAAAAGGCGTTTTTTTAAATTTAATTTGTTTTTGAGTCTAAACATTTAAATGATGGCTATCATAAAACACTTTTAAATAAAAGTTCTTTATGATATTTGTGTTAGATTTTAGTTTTACTAAGACAAGTTGAATATTCAATAGGCCTATCACGATTATGGATTTTGTCCTGACGATTAATTGTCATACAAATAATTGTGATTAATGATTTGATTCCCATCACTTACAGTTTGGAATTGTATATAATATTATAATAAAATAGGCCCATATACTTTACTTTAATGCTGTGAATTTTTTTCATAATATAATAAAGTTTTTTGCCAGTACCCTAACATAATAGCTAATGCGTCTGAACACCTTTGATTTTCTTTGTTTACTTTAACAGTGTTTTTTTATGTTTTTTGGCAAAATGTGATATATAATTTTAAACTGCACCATAAATGAGGTTGAATTGTGATAAAAACTGAAAAACCACAACCAGATGATTAATCAGCAAAAGATTCGTGACTCTCCTAACACTAACTAAAAACGTTATCTACAAAGACAGCTCAGGGTGCCATGCAGTTTCAGCATCAGAGTGATTCGATGTCTGGGTATGTCTCTTTTCCTCTTTGATTTCCATGAAAGCTGCCTGTGAAGTCACCAGATCTCAATGTACCTGGAACTTGTCGTTCTGAAGTGCAGAGTTAAACAGGCTTGCACCAAAGGGCTTCAGAATGTTTATTGAAGTCCAATGCCATTCTATGCACATTTGTATACACCACAGTCGTGCTTTGATCCAGATTCCCAAGTGCACAGAGTATGAAGCAATGTGAATTGCTCTCTTATTCGTGTATGTGGCGGATTCTTTCTTTGTTGTCATGGAGACGAGGGTTGAAAAACAAGTCCATTGTTGTGTTCCACTTAAGTTTTAATTAAGGATTTTTACCTTTCGTGCATCGAGCATTAATCCCTCAGAATTTGACTTTTGTCTGTTCTTCATGTGACTGTGAGGGCATGACCTTGACAACAACTTTCGTGTGACCTCAGAAATGTTGTTAAGACACGTTGATAGAATTAATTAATTATTATCCCACAGGGACATCTGTTGTTTAAGACAAAAATAAGGCAAACAAACCAATTAAAATGAGATGTCTTTCAGGTATTTTGCTGTTGGTGCTCTAGAGAAGATATTTATGTGACAAAAGATGAGAGAACAAGAATATATTTGACTTAGAGGACAAAATTAGGTGCCCGTCTAGGTATAATTCAGTTGCTGCTCTCTTTTTACATTAACAAGGCTTTATTGTAAGGTGGTGAATTTTCTGAGTAACTGAGTGGTAAAAGAGGCTTTTACCTCTTTAAAAAAAAAAACAGCTATAGTTCTTAGCAGAGAGCATTAAAGGTGCACCAATGCATGAGAGAGGCTGTAATTCAGTGGCAAGTCATCGATTAAAGCATCTTTTCAGCATAATTATCTCCTGATGAGTTTTGTGCTCGTTCTCTCCGTCTGTTCTGATATGAAAGTCTCAGCTCTGTCCACTGAGGAAGTTGCATACGTCTTGAGCTGTTTAATTCGAATGCACCTCAGGTCTTCAGCATCAGCATACAAGAACTCAGCGTGACATATGGAGTCTCATTTTCAAATGGGCGAAGCCGTCACGGTGACACAGGCCATTTAGATGACTTGTCAGGGCTCTCCGGAATTCAAACATGCCTTGTAATTGAGGTCTGTTTTTCCGTGTTTCTAAATGACTATCCCATACTGGCTGTAATTGTATTACACCCCAGTAATAGAGCCTCTTATCAATTCACTGAATGTGATACCTCTTTCCACCTTGAGCGTGCGGCGGTCCTTTGACAGCGACTCTCGGAGATAGCCTAAATAAGATTAATTGACTTGTTATGTGCATGATAGACCTATATTTTTGAGTTATGCAATAGCATTAGCAACAACATGTTTTTTTATTTATCAGGGGATGTTCACATAGGATGTGTCCTTGTGTCCAAAAAGCCTCTGCAAGAGTCTTGAGATGCATTTTGAACGATTTTTAACGTAATCCGCCACTACGTATTACATATTACATACGTATTACAACGATCAAAGACATCCATCTATTGCAGGAGTCGGCAACCTATGGGATAATCACTGGCACCTGACAATAGCGAAAGAGGTGTATTTGATTTAAATAAAGTTCCTCGAACTTGCATATGGATGTACATTTTGAGGTAATCATTCCTCATAGTCACACAGCCTGTTTGAAGCTACTAACCTGTGCTAGTCAACAGAAGCACATAACACAGCTCTGAAAAAAACATTAATGTGATTTGAGGATCTAGTGGATGCATATAAATACCAGGGGTTTCCACACTTTTTTGACAGCTCAACTCCTTAGATGGAAAATATTTACTTGAAGAACCCGTCCCTGATATTATTAAGTTAATACTTCAATAATGTAACAACACATTTGCATATTCACAGTTTTCTCATGTTGGTTAATGGTCAAATGGCATGCAGGTAAAATTTAAAATAAATGTTTTTTTGTTTTTTTTTAGTATTTTAAAATTAATATG